ACGTCCTTCCTGATATTCAGAGATCTCTGTGTAGAATAGAATAGAGTGCCAAATGTCACCTGAGAACTACTCACACAGACAGTGTGTGGAGGGCACCCATGCACAGCTCTGCACACCCATGACGCCTGAGGTCAGAGCAGGCAGGGAAGCAATGTTTCTTCTCCATCTTGTCTTCTTCTAGGCCCTTGACTGCCTTCCATTTTGTGCCTTCAGAAGCTCCCATGCCACCCTCTCCTCCCAGCCCTCCTACGGTAGCCTTGTAATTCCTCCGTCCTTAGACTCTTAGTGCTCCCTCTTGAGCCTGGCCCATCATCAGAAAGAACAGAGAGAGAGAGAAACTCATGAAATGTGCCTGTGAATGTGAAAAGTCACCAGTGTAGGGTTTTTTTTTCCTGGCTCGCGGACATCCTGGCAGTCTGGGGCCAAGGAATGCCACAAAGTCACACCAGAGGGCTGGAGAGATGGCTCAGAGATTAAGAGCACTGGCTGTTCTTCCTGAGGTCCTGAGTTCAATTCCCAGCAACCACATGGTGGCTCACAACCATCAATAATGAGATCTGGTGCCCTCTTCTGGCCTGAAGGTGTACACACAGGCAGAACATTATATACATAATAATAAATATATCTTTTTTAAAAAGTCACACAAGGAACCTAACACAAGAGAGCTATTGTGGAGAAAGGCACAATTTGGGGCCACCTCGGAATGGGAAGAGAGACTGGAGAGGGTGGACCGGCAGGTGGGTTTTTATAGGGTTTCTGGACCACACACAATGCGCCAGTGGAGCCTTTGGAAAGAACCATGTGGACAGAAGTATTGGGCAACTGGAAACACTGTCCATTCCCATTGAGTCACAGGGGTGTAGATTCCAAGTCTTAGGGTATTCTAAGTCTCCAGATTGGAAACAGGCCAGGGGCAGGGTAATGGTTCACTGACCTGTTACCTTAAACCCAGTTTTTCCCCTCTTCACAAATCGATGGAAAGCCAGGTCCCTCCTTTGGTGAACAAGCACTCTTATGACATTAGAGCAAGAGCTGTGTCCCTTTTTCTTGCAAATTGAAGCTGAGCTCAAGCCTTATCCATGGTTGTCATTCTTGGCTCTATTTGTGTCTCACCCAGGGCAGAACTGCTGTAGGCAGTATCAGCTCCTGTCATGGGTTATCATCAGTAGGGTGGTACCTGGCAGGAATCATGCCTAGTGGGTAGTTTCATCATCATGGGCCACAAAACAAGACTCTCCACTCTCCAGCACTGGGTATATCAGGCCCAGAGCTTGTGTCTGTTTGTGTCTCAGCTGTGCATCTGGTGACTGGATCCACACAGCTAAGGACAGCTGGGACCCATTCAAACTTGGCTACAGGAAGATTCCTTGGTGAGTTGGGGAACATGCCACCTCTCCACCCCCCAAACGCATATATGTTCATCCTCTCAAAGGCTCTGGAGCAGGAGGGTTATGGCCCCATTTTATGGATGAGCTGATTGAGGTGAGACAATGGCCCAGGTCACAGGCTCAGCAGCAGCAGGGACAGACTTGCAGTTAGAATGGGGTCTGTCCGCCCCTCCATCCTTCTCCCAACCTCCTCCCCTGCCGGCAACATAGGAGAGGATGTGGAATCCATAAGATGGGATCACCACACTGCCTGAGGCCTGATCCTACTTGTAGGTCTGCCTGAGACATAATATCATCATGGGGCCCTAGAGGGAAGGCAGCTTTTGTTAGTGATCAGTCACTTTGGATAGCTACAAAACAGAAAAAGGAATTGAAAGTGGCATGGGACACAGAGCCCAGCAAAATGTGTGGCATGGACACCCAAAGCTGGCCTTGGGGCGCTGTTGCTGAACCAGTAAGAATCAATGACAGGTTTTGATTAAGATATGCAAGATGACTAAGGGGTTCTGGCACCGCTGGTCTTTGCTTGACTATGCTGCCTCAGGCCCTGTAGAGAAACTGAGGCATAACAGAGAGTGGCTTGTCTAGGGTATGCAGATGGAGGCTGAACAGGTAGGCGAGAGGCCACACTCCCTTGTCCTCACCTGGCCTCTGCCTAGACCGTGGGGCACAGAGGAGGGAGCCAGGCTGTCCTGTGTGTGCCGGTGTGGAAGGGAACCAGGTAAGGGGACTGAGAGTGGGCTCAGTGCAGAGTCCCCAGGACCATCACACCCAGCCTTACCTAAAACTAGGGGCAGACTCTGCAGCAGGGTGTGCTCTAGTGAAGCAGAGGGGCCCAGGAGTGTTAAATCCCCAGGATTTCTCTTCAGTTCAGAGTCAGGGCTGTTGTCTCCCTCACCTCTCTGCCCTGACTGCTGTGTGACATGGGGTTTGTCGCGCTTCTCTATGTCTCTGTTTTATCCCCTGATAGCGGGAGCCAGGATTGCTGCCCCGCTGAGCCCCAGCAGGCTGCTCTCCACCTATGGTGCTGGAAGGCTGTGAGAGGTAGAGAGGGCACTGGAGACCCTGGTCCCTCAGATGCCAAAAGTATGAGAGAAGGTGGAGGATCAGGATGGACATGTTACTGGTTGGAAGGCAGGGAAGGGGTTGTAGGGGGAGGTGCAGGCTGGCCCAGCCATGTAGGTGAGGTGAGCAGGGGCACAAGTGGTGCACACTCTAAAGGTCGTTGGAAGAACAGTGTGTGTTATCCTTCAGTAAGCCTTAGAGTGGCCAGGGTTCAGAATGTACAGCTTGCATCACCTCCAGTGGTCACTGCATGTGCCCTGGCTCCCCTGCAGCTAGGAGCTGATCAATGCCCCTCTGCCTGCCTGCCATGCTCTCTGAACACACTCACTCACATGCCCCATCTCTGAAGGGAGAGCAATCACAAGAGACCTTGAAGTTCTACACGTGAACTGGTTAGCTTGTCCATTTGTGGCACTGGGGAGTGCACACAGGGCATCAAACGCACTGAAGGGCTTTCCACCATGGAACTGCAGACCCATCGCAGGCCCTCGGTGCTGTTTGTTCTTAGTTAGAACTAGGGTCTCTGTGTGAGGCCTGACATGGCTCCAAACTGCCAGCAACCTCCCTGCCTCAGCCTCTCCAGTGCTGAGGTTACCCATGTGCAGTCAGATCTGCTGCTGTCGAATGTTATTTTAAGGTGTGTTACATTTGTGTATGCTCTGGAATATTTGTTTAGCAATGTAAAGATGCGTTACTTTTGTTTATGCTGCATTTGTTTGATTCTGTGAAGCTGTCCTTCTTTGCCTGTCTTCAGCACCTGATGATCTAATAAGGAGCTGAAAGGCCATTAGCAAGGCAGGAGAAAGGATAGGCGGGACTGGCAGGCAGAGAGGATAAATAGGAGGAGAAATCTGGGAGGAGCAAGAAGGAGCAAGAGAACAAGGAGAGGTAGACGCTGGGGGCCAGCTACCAAACCACCCAGCCACCCAGCCACCCACCCAGCCACCCACTACCCAGCCACCCAGCCACCCAGCCAGCCACCCAGCCACCCAGCCAGCCAGAGTAGGAGTGAAATAGGATTTATAGAAGGAAGAGAAAAGGAAAAATCCCAGAGGCAAAAGGTAGTCAGGATAATTTAAGTTAAAAAAAGCTGACAGAAATAAACCAAGCTAAGGCCTGATATTTGTAAGAAAGAATAAGACTCCATGTGTGATTTCTTTGGGAGCTGGGTAGTGGGCCCCCCAAGAAGAGTAGGACAAACAACAATCATCTGGTACTCATTTGAGGGTACTGTGCACTAGTAAGTCTAGGGAGAATGTGTAGATGAATTTCTAAATGGTCTTATTAAATAAAAAACACAGAGCCAGAAATTGGGGTTAAAGCCTGAGAGAGATCAGAGGAATAGGAAAAGCCACCAGCCAACCTCACCTCACCGACACCTCAGCTTCCAAAAAAAGCTTCTTCCTATATGCTCATGCCTATATGCCTTTCTGTTCTGTTCTCTCATTGGCTCTCTCAGCCCAGCTACATCACTTCCTCTTCCTGCCCAGGTCTGTCACTTCCTGTCTATCTGTACAGACCTCCAGACCTCTATGGTTGGTGCTGGGATTAAAGGCCTGTGTCACCACGCTTGGCTCTGTTCCCTAGTGTGGCCTGGAACTCATAGAGATCCAGACAGATCCCTGTCTCCCAAGTGATAGGATTAAAGGCGTATGCTACCGTTGCCTGACTTCTGTGTTTACTTAAAATGGCTGGCTTTTTCCTCTGATCTCCAGGCAAGCTTTATTTATTAAAGCACAAATAAAGTATCACCACAAGAATGTCCACCCTCGGGCACTGCCTGTGTGAGTGTGGGTCTCACACTCTATTTATGCATCAGTGAGCCTCAGATTATGAAAAAGTAAAATGTTGATGCTCTGTGATCCAGTCATTTGCTTCTAGAAATATCTTACAGTAAATGACCCAGTGCAGAAGTTTCTTACAAGAGAATATCCTTCAGCTGCTGTGCACATGAAGATTAGAAGCCGCCTAAGGTTGAACACTTAGAGAGGAGGGCAGAGGACTGAAAGGGCCAGAGCAGGCACAGGAACAGGGTCTGACAGGACTCCAGCCCTGGTGGGATGCAGGGTTGCAGAACAAGGAGGAGGTGGGCTCTGGAAAGCATTGTGGCACCCATGAATTTAACTCCTGTCACAAGGCACAGGCCCTGATGTGAATGAGAAGCCACTCACAGTCACATGGGAAGAGGTAGAAATGATGCTGTGTGTTTAAGGGAGTGGAGATCCACATCTAAAAGGTGGAGTGTCAATCAAAACATCTTGGGGTTAAGTGTCTGGTTCAACGCTACTGTGAAATCTTGGGGGTGTCAACAAACCTTTATGGTCTTCCCTCCACTTTACGATGGGGCTCACAGCAGTCCTCATCTCATGGAGGACGTTGGTAACCTAATGAGGTGTGTATGAGGAGCCCTGTGTGTCACAGAATACAGTATGTGCTTGCTATTATCATCAATTTGCATGTTCCCAGCAAGTAGTTGACAGAATATCTCTTCCCATTTCTCCAATGTATAAATCATATATATCATGTCCCTAGCTGGTGACATTCTCAATGACACTGACAGGACAGAAGGGCTATGACTTGCCCAGACTGAAGGGTGAGGGTAGACCCATGTGACTGACATCTGTAAACAGCAGTGCAGGGCCCACTGGAGGAGAAGCACTCTGGCTGTCAGTCCTTTGGTTGTTCACTGCCACCTTGGTGGAACCACTGGGCCTCTGGCCCCTCCCTCCTGTCTTCCCTGCAGCCGTCCCCATTTCATCTCACAGTTGTGATTATTGTTGTCATGTTTCTGTCCTCCCTCCTGCCAGGACACCTGGAGAGCTGTAGGAAACCTGTCAGAAATCCTGTGGTTGGCGCTGTGAACCTAGAAGCCCTCATGGCAAAAGAAGGTAGTCAATTTCCTCTTCTCTGGCTGCTTCCAGCTCACAGCAGTCCCAAGGAAGTAGAAATGCTGCACTTTTTCTTGTCTGAAGCAGGTCCTTTGGTCTTGGTGGCCCACCTATGTGTGGTCTCTGGGTATATAAGTGTGCTGTCTTGACTGAACAGTATAATCCAGAGGCTCACGCATTGAACACTTGGTCTTCAGTTGGTGTTACCATTTGGGGAGGTTATGGAACTCACAGGACAGGGAGCCTTGCTGGAGAAAGTCCATCCATGTATGTGGGCTCTTAGAGTTCATAGCCCTGATGAGTGTGCTGTGCATGCTTTAATCCCAGGACGTGGGAGGCTGAGATAGGTGGATCTCTGTGAGTTTGAGATAAGATTGATCTGCACAGTGAGTTCCAGGCCACCCAATGCTACATACTGAGCCCCTGTCTCAAAAACAAAATAAAATAAAGTAGATTCCATAGACTGGCCACCCCTTCCCGTACATTCTATGCTTCTTAGGTACAGTTGAGATGTGATCTCTCAGCTTCCAGCACCTGCTTCTGCCCCTTCCCTGTCACTCTGGACAGCTATCCCTGTGGAACTGGAAGCCAAATGAACCTTCATTAATATATTTCTGTCATGGTGTTTTATCTCAGCAACAGAGGAGTAACCAATAGAGAAGTTGGCTTGGTAGAGTTAGCTCATGCTGTGAAGAACCTGACAGTGTCCCCCCTCTCATCTCTCCCTGATATCTTTCTCTCTTCTCTTTCTCCCCTCTCCCCATCTCTCAGCTCTCTCTCTTCACTCCTCTCTTTTGCTCTCTTTATCTGTCTCTCCTTCTCTTTCTCCCTCCCTCCCCATCCCCTTCTCTACTCTCTCCCATCTTTCTCCCCTCTCCCCCTCTCTCTGCCCCCTCTCTCTCTCCTCCTTATCTCTCCTCCCTCCTCTTTCTCTCTCTTCCTTCTCCCTTCTCCTTCTCTCTGCTCTCTCCTCTTTCTCTCCTCTCCCTTACTCTGCCCTCTCTTCTCTCTCTTTCTCTTTTTGTCTCTCTTTCTCCCTCTCTCCCTCCCTCTATATTTCTCAGTGTGTGTGTGTGTGTGTGTGTGTGTGTGTGTGTGTGTGTGTGTGTGTGTGTGTGTATCTACTCTGTGGGTATAGTATACATAGTAAATACTTGCTGTGATTCTATAAATACATGTATATAAATAGATAAGACTATGAATATACACACACATGCTTATATAAATAATTGACATTTTTCATTGGAGAGAAAAAGAGCAATAGGAAGCTCAATGTCACCACATGGCTGTTGTTGTCAAGGAGATTGGGGACACTGAGTGGGGAGGCTTCTGCTCTGCAGTGGAAAAGGATAGTGCAATCTGGGCAAGGCTCCAGCCAGCTAAGCTTCAGCCTGTGAAGAGAGAAAGCCCAAAGCTTTCTCGATTCTAGAAAGTAATTGCTTCAATATGCTCAACTGCTGTTGGTGTGGTTGAATGTGACAAGGGTCCATCCCAAGCTGGCAGCCAACCCTGGAAGTGCTGTCTGTGTGGTACTGTCTTTGGAGACATGAACTATGAAAGAGTCAAGCAGTCTTGGATTCCTTCTCCATGTTGTCAGAGAGGCATGATTCCTCCCATGTTCAATGTACACTGATGTTAATTCCACCTTCTTTGGAAATTCTACTGTTGGTAGGATGAGTTAATGTAGAACACATTAATGACTTAAAAGTCACATTTGAAGGCACTGGCACCACAGCGTTTGACAAGAGACTCGCGGTGAGTGGAAGGGAAGACGGAACTTCAACAAAAGGCCTGTGGTTTCTCGCAGCAGTGGAAGCCAAAGTCCATGATGTACATATGTCCAGTTGGCTGCAGTAGGGACCCTCTTCCTGGTGTGCAGAGGGAGCAGGGTCACTACATCTGCACATGGTGTCTCCTCTGTGTGTGCGGAGAAGGGTCAGGGTAAGAAACAGATGCAGGGGGAGGTGGACACATGTGTACATATGAAAGATAATAAAATACCTCTGGTACTCATTGTCATAAGGACCCCAGTCCCACTGAGTAGTGACCTCTATTCATTGCATCATTTGGACTTCATTACTTTACTTCTTAAAGGTCCCGTGTCCAAATACTGATCCTAAGAGTTTTCTCATAGGGATTTGAGAGACAACATTAAACCCTTCACCCTGGAGACCCCATTAGGACCCGTGGACAAATCCTCGGGAACATGGTGTCTCTCCACCTGCTGCCACTTGATCTCTTCCGCACTGTCTTCTAACCTCATTCTTTCTCTTGGCAAATAGTAGCAAGACGCTGCATTGAAGAACTCACTGATTATCTCACGGACACACTCTGCAGAGAGGATCTGGAGAGTCTGATAACTGAAGAGGGAGCCTGGAAGGCATTTGTGGAGACAGCAGAGTTGTCAAGGTAACCTGCATGGTGCAGCCAGCACTGCCCGCCAGACCATGAGGATGAGGTTGAGCATACCCACTCTAGGCAGTTGCCCTGGTTGAATATACCCACTCTAGGCAGTCGCAGGGGGTGGGGTTATGGAGACTCCTTCTCAACCATCCAAAAGGAGTGTCTCCATCATATTATTCCAACCTTAGGTTGATTGAAGATGTCGCCCAAAATGTCAGGGCCATTTCTGCCACCTACTAGTTATGCATCCTTGGCAGCCTAGTTACCACTTCTGTCGTCTACTAGTGATGTAACCTTTAAAATTAGTTACCACTTCCCAAGTTTCACCACCATGAAACTGTAGCATGAGAAATATGAATATGGGTGTGGCATTCTCAGACTGTGGGCAGTACACAGTGGATGACCTTGAGGGTTAGTTTTGAAAACCAATTGCGAAAGTGGGGAAAGATCAAGTCCAGGGGTCTCGTGTAGGACTGAGGACTCAAGAACTTATTTTGAGACAGGTCAGGTGGTGAGTCAGGAGTGAGTGACGGGTGGGAGTCGGCATGGAGCCTGTGTTAGTGGCATCGCATCTGCTCTCAGCCACTGCCTTGAGAGCCCCAGCCATGGAGGGAAAGGGCTTTGGGCATCTGCAGAGCAGACAGCAGGCAATATGATCTGGGCGGTGGGGAGTCTGTTATGGCTTTGTGGGATCTGTTTGTTTGTTTTGCTTCATTCTACTTTTAAATTCTCAGGGATAACTAAATGGCCAATCTGAGGAGAAGGTCCCAGTGAGCCTTCTTTTCTCTCTGACACCAGCTGTTGATGAAGGACTGCTCCAGATCAACTACAGGATTAGGAACCCTCTAGAATGACCCATGGAACTCACATATAAGATTTTTATCACATAGTTACAGTTGGCCAGGGAGCACAGAGGGTTTAAATGAGCTGATGAACACACCCAGCAGCCAGATCAAGGAGAGCTTCCAGCCCCAAGCTTCTTGTCCTCAGGACACAGTGTTGTCCTGCATCGAGTGTTTGACAAATCACATGACTCCTGCACACCAGGAAATCACATGACTCCTGCACACCAGGAAATCACATGACTCCTGCACACCAGGAAATCACATGACTCCTGCATACCAGGAAATCACATGACCGACTACTGCACACCAGGAAATCACATGACTCCTGCACACCAGGAAATCACATGATTCCTGCACACCAGGAAATCACATGACTACTGCACACCAGGAAATCACATGACTCCTGCACACCAGGAAATCACATGACTACTGCACACCAGGAAATCACATGACTCCTGCACACCAGGAAATCACATGACTGAAACAGGTCCAGCTGCCAAAAGGACACTGCTCTGGACTGTTGCCCTAGGCGACAGACATGGAGCCACTCTGTATACACAGAGAGCTAGGAACTTAAAGCAGTCTGGCAGTGAGAGCAGGAGACAGGACATCCCTAACAGGGACACAGATACAGATCAATTCCAGTGACACAGGCCTCATGGGAATTTTCATAAGGTCCATGCCTTTGGCCTCCAGTTCCTCTAAAGGTCAGAAATGGCTCCAAAGTTCCCAGTACACCCCACATCTTTTAGGTTGAGCATTTCATAGGAAATTCTAGGGAAGAGATATTCTCAGATCCTGCATTTCCTCACTTTGAAATTTTTGCAGACATTAAATGAAGAATCTTACATATGGGACCCAATCCTACCCAATACGGACCCTGTGTTCAGTAGGTGGAGGAGTTTTATGCAATGCTTTTAAAGTAATGTGTTGTCACTGTGTGTTGTCACTTGGAGCCAGATATGGAGCTTTCGACAGCTTAGGTCTGGAGCCTTTCAGATTGTGTTAGGTCTGTCTGTCCCACTGCAGAGCCCTCCCGGCAAGCACAGGCGGTCCTGCAGGGTGATACTGCATGGACTGAAGATGACTTCCCAGCAACTGAGCGCAGAGAGGAGACTCTTGGGAAAGGGGGATCCCTCACAACACACACAGTTCTCTCATTTAAACAATATTGGCTCTAATCTCACTTCCCTGTGATCAGCTACAGGGTTCCCACAGGTAGGGATGACATTGACCTTGAAGGAATTTTAGTAAGAGTCTGTCCCTACAGTGTCAAGATTCAACTTTACACACTGACCTGTATAGACTAACGATCATGGGTTTCTATGCTTTACCAAATGTTCATGGTAGAGAGTGAAATTATGGAACTCTGTAAAATCATTTTCTATTGGGTTTGTAATATGAAAGTACATTTTGAACAAGAGTTTGGATTTTTTTAAAAAGCCTGTTATTCTCATGCAATTGACCTGTTCTGTCACAGTGAGGAGGAAGCTGCACTGCGTGATGCACTGAAGGAGCATTTAGCTCGGGCGCCCACAGATGAAGATGATGTGTTGCTAGTTTTCCTGCCTGGCCCACAGTCAGGACAAATCTCTCTCACCCGCCAGTCCCAAGCCGCTCAAACCCGATCAAGTAAACACAGAGACTTATATTGGTTACAAACTGTATGGCCGTGGCAGGCTTCTTGCTAACTGTTCTTACAGCTTAAATTAATCCATTTCTATTAATCTATACCTTGCCACGTGGCTTGTGGCTTACCGGTACTTTACATCTTCCTTGTCCTGATGGCGGCTGGTAGTGTCCCCTCTTCAGCCTTCCACTTCCCAGCTCTATTCTCCTCCTTGTCCCGCCTATACTTCCTGCCTAGCCAATGGCCAATCAGTGATTTATTTATTGACCAATCAGCAACACATTTGACATACAGACCATCCCACAGTAATGATGGACCTCAAAAGGAGCTGAAGAAAAAGAGGTTTTTGGAAGAATTTCCTCAGTTGAAAAGCAAGCTTGAAGGACACATCAAGAAGCTTCATGCCCTGGCTGACCATCTTGACAAGGTGCACAGTGACTGCACCGTCTCCAGTGTGGTGGCCGACTCCACCAGCACTGTCTCTGGAGTCCTGGGCATCCTGGGTCTAGTTCTGACACCCATTACAGGAGGGACCAGCCTGATGCTCTCAGCAGCTGCTTTGGGGCTGGTAGCAGGTATGACTAGTGTCACCACCACCATTGTGGAAGAGTCCAACAGATCATCAGATGAAGCCGAAGCCAGTCGCCTGGTTGGAGCCAGCATGGACATACTGCATGAGATTATGAAAACCATGCCTAAGATTAGGGTCAAACTTGCTAATACGGGTTTGGATTTAATCAGTGCCTGTAAAACCCTCAAGGAGCAGATCAGTACCATCAGGATGGCCAGAGCCAGTTCTCGCTTAGGAGCACAGGCCACGGAGAGCATCTCTGATGAAGCTTCCAAAAAGGTGGGGAAATCCTTAGGGGGCACGATTAGAGGAATAGGCTTTACCAGTGTCTTCCTTTCACTGGATGTGTACCACCTTGTGACTGACTCAATGGAATTATACGAGGGGGCAAAGACAGAGTCGGCCGGAGCGCTTCGGAAACTAGCTCAAATGCTGGACAGAAAGTTGCAGGGATTTGAGCAGATGCACAAGGCTCTGCAGTCAGATCTGCCTCAGTGACCCCTCCCCCAAGCAGCTAACAATTCAGGGGAGATGACAGGGGGTGGGTGATGGGAACAGTGGAGGCATACTTTTACAAGGGAATGAGCTTGAAATAAAGTCTGTGGAACTGAGCATTGAGGAGTTTGTATTTCTATGGCTGAGCACAGCAAGATCAATGCAGACAGCCAGTGACTCAAGGAAAGGAAAGGAACTGGAGTCTCAAACAAGGGGCCCCACTCTTTGCCACCTAAAGAGTGGGGAGCGGGATTGAAACATCGTGGATGTGAACAGCAGAACGGTAGAAGAGCAGGCACTGGAAGACAGGAACCTGGGGCGCTGGATATGGGAGAAACCAGAGTGGGAGTTCTGGACTGAAGAAGCCACAAGTGGCCAATATCCCCTCCCCTGAGGGAAGTGTCCCTGTGACCTCTGGGCTATTCTTCCCAGAGTCAGCAGGATCTATTTACCCTTGTGTCCTCCAGGCAGTGACCTCTGGATAGTGACAATGGTGATGATGCTGGTGATGAAGATGATGTTGAGATGGTGGTGGTTTTAGCAGAGTAGATGGAGCTCTTGACAAGGAGCCAGTCCTCCAAGGGGACAGGGTCCCCCGAGAGACCGATGGCATTGAAGTGAATGTCTGTGTGCTGTGATGGGTCAGAGGTCAGTTCTGGGGGTGGACAGTCAAGGCAGATTTGCATGAGAAGTCAAACAACCTATGGTTTGGAGATGAAGTCAACATGTCTGTGACAGGAGACTCAGCCTGTGACCCTCGGCTCGCTCTCATGCTGGTGGAAGGTGTCCTGCCAAGATGGGACCTCAGAGCTACTCGTACTTGTCCACTTGTGTTTATAGATTGTGTTCAATAAACATTACCTGTCCGTCTAGACAAGTGGAGTATAAAGCAGTCAATTGCAACAAAAGGAGGTGGCATGGGAGCAAAGAAAAGGGCAGAGTCAAAATGATACTCTGTCATCTTTGATGGAGAGCTATGCACAGTGCCAAGCAGAGGGAAGCTGCAAGCCTGGTGGGCTGCCACAGAGCTCAGAGGGAGGGGTTATGTGTGATAGCCAGGATAATGGTGACATTTTTCAGAGTCACAGTATGACCACAAGGATACTAGGCATGTCTCTAACCCTGACAGCACTGGAGTCCCCTGGCAAAGTCCCACATGCCACTGCAATGACAGAAAGGCCATGCAGGGAGACAGGTTGGAGTTTCTCATGGCCATTCTTGTTGCTGAGATTTGAGATGGTTGAATTGCTTATAAGCTTGATCTGATAAATTGAGTCTGTGTAATGTTGGCCCACCGGCTCCTCTAGGCATTGGTCTCCTGACTCTCATCTACCTCTGGGCAACAAGCTCATGGATCTGAAGTGTTGTGACTCATTTCAGGCACATAAGCCTCAGAAACATTTTCATAACCTTTGACAGTTTGAGGATTTCTTGTAACACAAATCTTAAAAGGTCTCATTCATAAAAACAAACCTGGAGCCAGATATTAGGGTGAATGTTGAAAGATCAGAGAGACAGAACACTCCAAAGCTAACCTCACCTTGCCAACTTCTCAGCTGATCCTGTTTCCTCAGCCAGATGCCTCTGAATCCTCACCCAAATGGATCTCAGTTGAACTGCTGCTAAAAGCTAAAAGCTCAAAAAGGCTCTAGTTCATGGTCCTCATGCCTTATGTACCTTTCTGCTTCCTTCTGTCACTTCCTGGGATTAAAGGCATGTGTCCTTCCCAAGAAAGACATGAGAATTCAAGTGCTGGAATTAAAAGTGTGTCACCATGCCTGGTTGTTTCCAGTGTGGCTTTGAACTCACAGAGATCCAGATGGATCTCTTCCTCCAGAATGCTAGGAGTAAAGGCATGTGCTACTACTGCCTAACCTCTGTTTAATATAGTGGCTGTTTTGTTCTCTGACCCCAGATAAGTTTATTGGGGTGCATAATATATTAACCACAAATTCTCTTCTACTGAAGATCTGAACTGGTTCAGTCTGAGCGCTCAGCATGGCATCCAGTTACTGTCCCTGTGGCTTGCAGTTCTTGGAGGTTTGTCTCTCATGGTCCTTATGATGGCCAGCTGGTCTGAGCCAAGCCCCTTCTCTGGGGTTTGGCCAGGGTGGGATGACCATGGTGGCCTGGCCCCTTGGTGCTGACCCTTGCACCCTCTACTTGGTGAGGATAATGTATTTTTTAAACTTAATTTTATTTGACATTTCCCCCTTTATTTTACATTTAGACCACAGTTTCCCCTCCCTCCTCTCTTCCTGGTCCCTCCCCTACCTCCTAGCTACTCACCTCCTCATCCCTTCCTCTTCAGTCTCCATTCAGAAAGGAGCAGGCCTCCCATAGGCTTGAATGAAACATGGCACATGAAGTTGAGGCAGGACTTAGCTTCTCCCCCTGCATCAAGGTTGGGCTAAGTGATCCAGCATGGGGAACAAGTTCCCAAAAGCCAGCTAAGCACCAGGGACAGGTCCTAATTTTCCTGCTAGGAGTCTTACACACAGACCAGGCTGCACAACTGTCACATACACTCAGATGGCCTAGTTTGGTTCCATGCAGGCTCCCTAACTGTTGGTCCAGTGTCCATGAGCTCCCAGGAGCTCAGGTCATCTGTCTCTATGGGTTCCCCCATCATGATCTTGGACCCCCCACCTACTGCTCATACAACCCTTCCTCCCTTTCTTCAGCAGGACTTCTGGAGATCAGCCCAGTGCTTGGCTGTGGATTTCTGCATCTACTTCTGTTTCTGGATAAAAGGCTCTCTGATGACAATTAGGTCGTCAGATTATGGTAGATGGCCAGTTCAGGCACCTTCTCTACTATTGCTAGGAGTGTTAGCTGGGGTCATTCTTGTGGATTCTTGGGGGTTTCCGTGCACCAGGTTTCTCCCTAACACCGAAATGCACCCCCCTCCCATCAACATATCACTCTCGTTACTCAGTGAGGCTAATATTAACACAAAGCAGAATAAGAATAGCATTCATTGGGATCACATTCCCATTTTTGACGTTTCCCCTGGACCAAAGGCATTGGCAGAGTCTCCAACGCTGAAGTGGCAAATACTAGCATTACTTTCTTGGGGTGTCACTGTTCATGCTGAGCAGTTCCCTAGAAGATCCCCAGAACTCCAGATGGCACTGGTTCTGCTTGTGTCCTTGGAGTTAGAGACAGAGGTATGAGAGGGAGTCCCACTCCCTGCCATATGAGTCTGTGGCCCTATCCTGGCTGTTCAAGGGTCCATGAATGTTCCAGTCTGTTCTTCTGTCAGGTTAAGCAATCCCCATCATGATGGGCCTATGACTCGGGGAATATTTACATGGTCCTGCATCTCAGTGTGTTTTTCTATCCCAACTAAAGTCATGCTACTGAAAGAAGAAGAATCAAGAGCAAGAAAACATGTTTTAATGACAACAAATACCTTTCTACCAGGAAGCATGGTCACACGTCTCCTGTCGAAGGCTGCATCCTGACTTCCCTCTTGGCTCAGCTCTGAGTTGTGGAATGAAAACCTAGGTCTCCTTCCTAGCCCCAGTCTCCCCTCTGCACAATCACAGCACGGCCCCATAGCACAAGTGTTGGTTACCCAGGGATTTGAAAAAATGGGATAAGATTTGTATCTTAGGGAATGATTGTAAAACTCCAAATGGTGAAATAAATGAGTTGCCAACTCTAGTGTGTGGGTCACCTGCTCTCCCTCCTTCAAGCTGTGAGGACATGGCCATCAAGCCCCAGTGATATTTGTCTAGGATGAAATAGGCCCCAAAAGAAAGGGTTATGTTGGCTCTTGTATTCAGCTCCTCTCAGTCCCTTCTCCTGTGACAAGGCAGAGATGTCCCACAGACATCCAACTTCAGGTCTCTGGTAGAGTAGAGGACTTTGGCCCCTCCCCAAAGGTGCCATGAGAATATGATATGAGGTACTGGACTCTGCCAAGAGGATGCTGGGAACTCCTGGGACAAAGCAACACAGGATGGACCTATGTAAAGGCATCTGCCACCAACTTCAGCAGACCACTGCCAGCATCAACCTCTCCAGAGCCCGGGACTGCATGAGGGGTGAGGAGAGGCTGGTGTGCTTGGGGAGAGACAAGGATGGTCAGAGTCCAGGAGCTGTGGAGAGTGATCTCTGAAAGGTGCTGGAGCCGAAGTGGCAGGTTTTTTCTTCTTCTTTTTTTTTTTCATTAAGAAAATACTTTCCTTCATTTTACACACCAATCAAAGATCCCCCTCTTCCCTCCTCCCACCCCCCCAACCTCCCCCTAACCCACCACCCCACTTTCCCCCACAAAAAGGCAGGGCCTCACACCGGGAGGCACATCCAGTAGAGGCAAAGCCCAAGCCCTTCCCTCTTCTTCAAGGCTGCAGGACGTTTCCCATCATAGGTAGTGGGCTCCAAAAAGCCCTCTTATGCACCAGGGATGGATTCTGATTCTACCGCCAGGGGGGCCCCCAAGCAGATGAAGCTACACAATTGTCTTGCCATGCAGAGGGCCTAGTCCAGTCCCATGCAGGCTCCACAGTCATTGATCCAAGAGGCAGAGGCAAGTGGATCTCAGTGTGATTAAGGCCAGCCTGGTCTAGACAATGAGTTTCATGACATCCAGAGTGACATAATGAGACCCTGTCTCAAAAAGTCAAAAGGAAGCAAGCAAAAATGAATAAGACAAGGACATACACCTGTATTCTGTGGTCAGACTAAGCTAGTTCCAGGAAGCCATGTGTCTCAGCCTCTGTCCCATGGGTCCACATGGTCACTTACTACTTGGACATTCTTTCTCTTTATTCTGTCTTAGTGGGGAAAAGCACCTCTTGGTTGTTGTAGACTATGGTTTGTCTGTCTGCTTATAAAGTTTGCCAGTGAGGTCTTTCCCAACCATTTGGACAAAGCAAGCAACTCTGACCCCCACACTGTCTCCATGGACACACTTTGCTGTCTCCCTGCTTGGGATGTAGGGTACCTGGGGGACCCTCGCTGGGCCATAGAGAAAGAGGCTGCACAGTTGGTCC